CCATTTCAAGAGGTTACCAGCAGTGATTTCAGTCGAGAATAGCAGCTTTGGAGTTGGAATTGGAAATGTCGCAGAAGAAAGCCGATCAAATGCATGATGTACTCGATAGCACCAAATCTCACTATGATCAATTAGAGAAGAAATATGATCAAGCCAATCAGCTGCTACGAAACTATCAAGAAAGGTAAGGCATTTACAAAATTCAATCATCAGGCTTGCTTATTCATTTTAAAAGTGAGGTGAATTTTAAAATTCTACCCTACATAAGAATTACGAAGAAAGCTCTTGAGAGATTGCTTAGTCAGGTGCTGAAGATCACTTGATGGTGGAGTTTACGGTGGAAAGTTAACTCTAGAAGTCAAGTTAGAGGTTCCCAGTGATGCAGGGATGAAGAAAAAACCCAAAAATACGGTTAAGAACCGAGAAATGGGATTTTTGCGCCTAGTTTACGTGTCAGGCATGTCTCATCGGTGCTGACCTCATCAACGTTAACGCTCGCTCCACTAGAGCGGCCAGAGTCATACCGCGAGAGTGTGGCCGAGAGGATTGCCCCTAGGTCACTGGGTGCATATCCGTCACTCCGAAATCCGCGTAGTCCCGCATCCTTACGAGACCCGCTCGCTTTTCCACTAGGGATCTTTTCTTTTTATCGACTTCCTACCTTATCGTGGAACCCTTTTTTAGAGGGGCATTCCGCGTTTCCGTATATGCAGATTGTTTTTGAAAATAAAACAAGTAGTGGTGCATAATTTACCCATAAAGAAAGCCGGCCAAATAATAGAATTATAAATCACACTGCGCGTTGGTCTAATTGGCGGGGCTGCGCTTGCAACTACTGGACTCTCTTTCATCCTTCACTATCGCTCCCTGTAGCGTCTTGTTTTAGCTCTTTCAGAGCAAAGGTCAACCAGTGAGATTCCCACGAGCCTCGTCCTTGTGATCAGTGCACAATATGATTTTAACGGCTATTGAACAATTTTTTTCTGTCTGGTTACTGGTGGACCATCATCCCCCATCAGCCACATCTCCCTTCATTTTCAAGCGTAACACTCATAGCCCTACAGGTAGGGCGGAAGTGGTGTAGTGGCAAGTGGCACGCTTACCACGCGAGCGGTCCGGGGATCAAATCCTGGGTCGTGAGTCGCCCGGGCCAACCAAGCCTTCCATCCCTCCGGGGTCGGTTAATTGGTACCAGACTTGTCTGGGAGGATAAAAACACTGACTTGTACATCGGCTGGCCCCGCAAGTCATTGTATAGGCCACATCGCATTCAAACGCCACTGCGAATGTACAAATGGAAGTAGAATGCGTGCCGCATCCCAAAAAGGGATTGATCAACGGCAAATGCTTTATCCTTTATCCTTTTTTTTTTCCTTCGTATGTTCTTTGAAACACGTAAGTTTGGCGATTGGAATCCCCCCCCCCCCTCCAGAAAATTCTGTTCAGAAAGATGGAACAACTAATGCAATTGGATTTACCTTATTTCAAATCCCTAGAAGATTTCGTGAATTTTGCCGAATTAGCTGAAACCCGTTCATTTTCAGAGAAAAAGAATTGCTCTCACGTGAAGAGAATCATGTGGAGCAATTGAGGGACAAGGATGCTCACTACACACATCTGGTCACTCAACTCAAGGTTGGTAATAACTTTGAAAATATTCATTCAATTCTCATCACAGCATTCATTTCCACTGAATTTCAGTAGTTTTTCAGAAATATGAGGTCAAAAGCGTTTCAAATCGAGCTTGTGTTCCATGAATTGCAGCAATCTGATAGACCTACATAATTCGGTTCTCATTTTTCTGAATTTAATTTTTCCAGGAGCGCATTGATGAACTTGAAGCAAAACTGGAGGAGATGGATCAGCGACGACAATCGATCACTAATAATGAATTGTCGGAACTGAAGGAGAAATTGAAGGTTGGCGCAGAACTTTCATCGAGCCTCCATCACATTTTGAATAATCAATTTTCAGGACAAGTTGGAGAAACGCGACGAGGGTTTGGCGTGATACAGCGACGAGGGTTTGGCGTACAAACCTGGTGGTGAATTGCCGCACGAGGACAAAGCAGTGATGGCAAATCTGGACGATGCTAAGGAAACTGTGAAACCCACCACAATCAACAATAACAATATCCCTGTAGGTTCTGGAACCCCCTTTGGCACAGGCCCTGAGATGAATTGCTACCCTGTACTAAATCTGTGCAATTTCAGTGTCGAAAGGATGCCGAAGTGTCAACGTGGGACGATGACAAGTATTCGTCGTCGTGTGGAAGTCCGGTTCCACGAATATCCGAACCGGCAAGTCCTGCCCTCCCGCATCGATTCGTTCATCGACGACTGCTGTTCCCATTGAAGAAGAAATACGTTACCAGTGCGTTTTGCTACTTTTTTTACGGTGATGTACAAGTACGATGGGTACGCCGAGTTTTTCGCATACGGTAGGCGCGAAGTGTATGTAAGTGGGGACTCCTGCCTGCTATTATTACGTGATGAGACGAGACGCTATGAAGTAACTCACACATCAAAGCTTTTACTGCCCTCACCCCCACCCCTAGATTGGCTACACTCCCCCTGGCTCACGAATTCCCTCAATTCTCGTGACACCATAGTAGCGGGCAGCAGTCCCACTTACATACATTTCGCGCCTACCGTATTCAAAAAATACGGCGTGCCATCCCACTTGTATTGCGCCTTTTTTTCTGTAATATTTAATCAATTTACCTTAATTATTATATCTTCCACTTCGTTTTTTGACCTAATCGAGCATTGTGTAAAGGCACTATTCCACTATTACTGCCCCAAAATCTCAAAATTTTATTTTTCGTCGAAACTTTGCCTATATGGGGTAATTCGATGCCCTGATTACGAATATGACATTCATTTTTGATGCTGGTGCTCATTTGCGCCAGTTGGCGGTTGATTGACTGTAACCTTTGCAATCTATGTCCATTTATTAAATCGGAAGGACGTGAGTGTGCGCTGAATGATTTTATTAATACATTTTTTTTGTTTTTTTTTTCCTTTTGAAGTGCCTACATTTGTCGATCACTTCTGCCTTTTTTATTAATTAGTTTTTCTTCCAGATGAGAACGAGTTCTGGCGTGCTTCCTGCGAACAAATTCAAGGATTGCAAGTGCTTCATTGGACAGTTGATGATGTCTGCCAGTTACTGGTTTCTATGGGACTCGACAAATATGTCCCAGAGTTCACGATTAACAAGGTCACTGGAGCGAAGTTCTTAGAATTAGATGGAACGAAGCTAAAGGTGAGGCCATTCGATCATAATTTATATTCTGCTTGCGAGACTTGATTCGCGCCGAGTGCAGACCACACACCACAAGTGAC